TTCTCCCACAACAAATGTCATGAGAAAGAAGTAAGGTGTAATACCTAGAAGTATGTATGAATGTGGCTGTGTTCCAATAAAGCCAGCTAAACCGATGTAGGGCAAGATTCAATCTCTGGGCAAGTGTTATGCCCAACTCTGATAAAGAGGATTATTGAAGGAATATAGTCATAAATCATTATACCTATATTAGCCTAGCTTTATCTCTATTTAAAATAGTACTTTGTATTTTACATATATATTTTATTTATTTACTTTTGCTGACAGTAGTAAATTGTGCTTATCCTAATGTAGAAATTGAAGAGGTATGGTAACCTAGCTCCTTTAGTTCAGTGTTATTAGTAGCAAACTTTACACATTTGAATGTGTATGATGAAGGGGTGATGTATGAGCAAAATTACAGAAGTAGAAGGCAGGGAACACATGTAATGTGAGATTGTGCTGGGCTCTTAGGGAGTGATGAGTAGGGAGAGAAATGGCCCTTGAACTTTTTCCTTTTGCATTAAAATGGGTATAATGGTAGAATGTGCCCTACCTCCCACCTTATAGCATAGATCTTTGTGTACAGTGAGGCTATAATGTAGCAATAACTTTGGGGAGCAGAGCGATACAAAGGAAACAAACAACATAAACATTTTGCAGGAGATGGTTGTAACCTTAAGGGAGTAGGAGGCAGCTGTACAGCACAGGTTACTATCCTATTGTTCTGCCTGGTAACACTTTGTAAATGGAGGTTTGTGCTGTTGGTCTCTCGTATTTCTAAACAGTTTGAAATCTAAAGTGTTTATTGTAATGCTCTATACCCGTAGCTTCCTCCATGCCATGACTTCAAAAATCCGTGGCCTACTAAATACCTCAAGTCCATAGCTGCTGTGGCTATACTGTACTGTCTAATATAGAAGCCATTACTTGCTCACATGGGTTATTAAACAATTGAAATGTGACTAGTCTGAACTAAGATGTACACATAAAACATACATAGCGTTCTGAAGACAATCCAAAAAAAGTAAAATATCCCAATTATTATGTTGACTACATATTATAATGAAATTATTTTGTGATATATTGAGCTAAAATATATATAAGATGAATTTCAGTAGTTTTTTAAAAATTTTTAAATGTGACACTTTAAATTTTATATATCTGGAATTCTGTTTCTGATATAAACTAATATATAAAATATCTAGATTTGAAGTACAATTTTCTTAAACATTAGTAAGTATAGTCTATGACTTTTTTTAAGATTTATTTTATTAATTTGAAAGATAGGATTACAGAGAGATGTAGAGACATAGAGAGGTCTTCCATCCGCTGGTTCACTCCCCACCCAGCCACAATGGCCAGAGCTGAGCTGCTGCAAAGCCAGGAGCTTCTTAAAACAGATCTCCCACGTGGGTGGAGGGGCCCAAGGGCTTGGGCCATCCTCTGCTGCTTTCCAAGGCACTGTAGCAGGGAGCTGGATCAGAGGTGCAGCAGCCAGGACATGAACTGGCGCCTATATGGCATGCCAGTGCTGCAGGCTGGGATTTTAACCTTATATGCTAACCACATATTGGCTTGCAAAGCTAAATCTTACTGATAATGTTTGTTTCTGTAGGGAAATTTTAGAACTTTTATAAGATCTAAGTAGGACTATATTCTTTGGCATTAAGAACTAAGACTTTGAGACAGGAATTTGGCCTAGTGGTTAAGATCCCTATTGAAGTGCCCACATCTGACATTGAAATATTTGGATTCAATGCCTGGCTCTGGCTCCTGACTTCAGCTTCCTGATGATGCAGACCCTGAGAGGCAGCAGTGATGGCTCAAGTATTTGGGTACCCGCCACCCGCCACTCATGTTGGAGACTTGGTTGTGTTCCCAGCTTTGGCTTCAGCCAATCCAGGTATTTAGGGAGTAAGCCAGTGTTTGGGAACTGTTTCTCAAATAAACTAAAACTTTAAAAAAATTAAATTCTTTCAAGATACTTTTTTTTTTTTTTTTTTTAACAGGCAGAGTGGACAGTGAGAGAGACAGAGAGAAAGGTCTTCCTTTTCCCGTTGGTTCACCCTCCAATGGCCACCGTGGCTGTCGCGCTGCGGCCGGCGCACCGTGCTGATCCGATGGCAGGAGCCAGGTGCTTCCTCTTGGTCTCCCATGCGGGTGCAGGGCCCAAGCACCTGGGCCATCCTCCACTGCACTCCCTGGCCACAGCAGAGAGCTGGCCTGGAAGAGGGGCAACCGGGACAAAATCTGGCGCCCCGACCGGGACTAGAACCCGGTGTGCCGGCGCCGCTAGGTGGAGGATTAGCCTATTGAGCCGCGGCACCAGCTTCAAGATACATTTATTCATTCATTCTGCACCATTGATAACCACCTATAGGTTATTGTTGCCCCTCTCTCAGCTAATAAATTATTCTGCAGATTTTGTTGCTTATAAAGCCAGATGATATTTGTCTTTATCTTTCTGGCATTCCTTTCTTCAACTATACTTTTCCTTTAAGACCTAACTCTTTTAATACCACTTCCTCAAAAACAGTGATTTTTTAAAAAAAGATTTATTTATTTGAAGGCAAAGTGAGAGAGAGAGAGAGAGAGAGAGAGATATCTTTCATCTGCTGGTTCACTCCCTAGATGGCCACAGCAGTCAGGCCGGGCCAGGCCAGAGCCAGGAGCTTCTTCGGGTCTCCCACGTGGGTGGCAGGGACCCAAACACTTGGGCCATCTTCCACTGCTTTCCCAGGCCATTAGCAGAGAGCTGGATCAGAAGTGGAGCAGCTGGGACTCGAACTGACGCCTACATGGGATGCCAGCACTGCAGGAGGCAGCCTTACTGTGCACAACACTGGCCCTTCTGGATCTTTTTTGCTCTCCTTCCCTTCCTCTGAATTCTCTTAGGATATCTGCCTCTGTCATATAAAGATAGCCACTTTTTACTTTGGGTATTTTTTTAGATTTCATTTATTTTTCATTTTATTTGAAAGGCAGAGTGACACAGAGCGATCTTGCAACTGCTAGTTCACTTTTCAAATGCCCACAACAGCTGGGACTGGAGCAGACCAAAGCCAGGAGCCAAGAACTCCTACTAGATCTCCCACAGGGCTGGCAGGAACTCAAACATTGGGCTGTCATCCATTGCCTCCCAGGCACAGAAGCAGGAAGCTGGATCAGAAGCAGAGTAGCCAGGAGTTGAACTAGGCACACTGATAAAGGATGCAGGTGTCTCAAGTGGTGGCTTAATCCACTGTACCACAAGTGGTACTTTGAATTTTGAATAACATGTAATGCATCATTATTTTTTGTACTAGAGCATACTTCAGAAGAATATCCTTTATAATGAATTAGAGTCTTGAACTTGGCACATGCATGAATACATCTTTAGATGTCATTTGTATTAAGGTCTTACTGGTTTTCATTTCTATAAATTTCATATTTTGCGTTCTGTAGAAATATACAAATGAAACAATCTTAATGGAATCACCATTGAAGTAGTTTTGGAATTGCTGTGAGAAGGACAGTGGAGATATCAGGGAGGAGAAGAAAACCCAGAAAACGGGGCTAGTTATGTTGATTATTAAAAATAAACCCAGAAAATCTTTTTCTTCCTGTCCCAGCCCCTTCCTTTCTCCATAGGGAACATCTGTTTGTAATATGTGTATATAAGTACATTATGCATTTTTCAATGATTATAATTAATGTACAAGGGAGTGTATATTCAGTGATTTGAGTTTTTACTGCTGATTGTGCCTTAGAAATTCTCCTATATTATGGATCATTCTTGCATTCTAAAAGAGATGATGTAGAATTTTGGAAAATAAGTGCTCATGTTGAGAAACTCCAGTTATACAGTAGAACACTGAGTTGAATGGTGCCCCAGTTTTATCCCTATTCTCTAGCTGTTCCCTTGATTTTTTTTTTTTTTTTTTTTTAAAGATTTAAAAGGCAGCCGGCACCACGGCTCACTAGGCTAATCCTCCGCCTTGTGACACCGGCACACTGGGTTCTAGTCCCGGTCGGGGCACCGGATTGTGTCCCGGTTGCCCCTCTTCCAGGCCAGCTCTCTGCTGTGGCCAGAGAGTGCAGTGGAGGATGGCCCAAGTACTTGGGCCCTGCACCCCATGGGAGACCAGGATAAGTACCTGGCTCCTGCCATCGGATCAGCGCGGTGCGCGGCAGCCATTGGAGGGTGAACCAACGGGAAAAGGAAGACCTTTCTCTCTGTCTCTCTCACTGTCCACTCTGCCTGTAAAAAAAAAAAAAAAAAAAAAAAAGGAGAGGCACAAAGATCTTCCATCTGATGGTTTACTCCCCAAATGGTTGTAACAGCTGGGACTGGGCCAGGCCAGAGCCAGGAGCTTCTTTTAGAGCTTCTCCCCCATGGGTACAGGGGCCCAAGGACTATGGGCCGTCTTCCACTGCTTTCCCAAAAGCATTAGCAGGAAACTGGATCAAGAGTAGAGCAGCCAGAACTCTTAACTGGCACCCAGGTGGGATGCAGGCACTGCAGGCAGGGTCTTCACCTGCTACACCACAGTGCTGGCCCCTGAAATAAAATTTTAAAAATTAAAGTTTTTTTGTTGTATGAAGAATTATAATTTACTTAACCTTTCTCTTGTTATTTGCTTAAGTTTCTCAGTTTTTCACTATTATATTAAAACTTTTTAAAAATTCATAGTTAAATGCTAGGATTATCTGTAGTGTTTTGACTATTTTGGGATAAGAAGTTTAAGAATTAAAAGGAAAATTGAGCTTATATCAATTTGGCTATTACTTTTAAAACTGTTAGAAAATAAATTTTTGCTACTGTGCCTTTAAATTGCAAAATATAAATGCCTAATTTAAATACACTTATTTCTAGGTTTCTTTTAATGTAGAGGTGATCAGTTACTAATTCCCTTGTTTGAATTCTATGTAAAATTTTTGCTTTAAAGGCACAAAAATGTGCTGATAAAGGTATCAGCTTTTAAGGTAAAATTTGTGAAATGATAGGTAATGGGTTTTTGTTTCTGTTTCTTAATCAGTGACTTTTTTGAACGAACCATTCTGTGCAACAGCCTTGTGTGGAGTTGTGCTGTGACGGGTAGACCTGGACTGACATACCAGGAAGCACTTGAGTCAGAAAAAAGAGCAAGACAGAATCTTCAGAGTTTTCCAGAGCCACTAATTATTCCAGTTTTATACTTGACGAACCTTACCCATCGTTCGCGCTTACATGAAATTTGTGATGATATTTTTGCATATATCAAGGATCGATATTTTGTTGAAGAAACTGTTGAAGTCATTAGGAACAATGGTGCAAGGTAAAGTACTTTTAATTTTTCCTCTTAATAAGTATATATTCACATTGCTCAAAATTTGCAGTACACAAATGGTGACTTGAAGAAATCTTCCCTTTAACTGTCCTCCAGCTGTGCTGTTAACTACAGCTCTGTTGTTAGCTGTTTTTTGTATATTTTTCTAAACATTTTTATGTATGCCACCAAAAACATATATATGCTGTATCTGTATGTTTGTATACAAAGGCACGCATTCCCCCCCTCCCCCTTTTTGATTTTCAGATTTATTTATTTTGAAAGTCAGTTACAGAGAGAGAAGAGACAGAGAATTTGCATCCACTGGTTTACTCCCCAGATGACCCCAACCCGCAGTGCTAGCCAAAGCCAGGAGCTAGGAGCTTCATCTGGGTCTCCTACATGGGTGGCAGGGGTGCAAACACTTAGGCCATCTTCTGCTTGTCCCAGGGCATTAGCAGGGAGCTGGATAGGAAGTACCGCAGCCCACAGCGCTGCTCACCCTTCCCTTTTTAATGCAACAGAAACATACTATATATCCTTTTTCACTTTAAATACCTTGGAGGTTAGTTTATTGCTGTACAAACCACCTTCTTTCTCTTTAATTTATTTTCCAATAGGTCCCATTATATTGTATCTTCATCTATATGAGAAAAAAAAAAAAAAAAAAAAAACCTTAGATGGTAATTTCTACTTGTTTCCTTACTGTATTACCTAATAGATGGGTTTTAGAATTTCATTTAACAAAATTCAGGACTGAGTTTTTAATTTTTTTTAAAGATTTATTTATTTGAAAGTTACAGAGCGAGGTAGAACCAGAGAGAGAGAGAGAGAGAGAGAGAGTGAGTCAGAGTCTTCCATCTGTTGGTTGACTCCCCAAATGGCCACAACTGCCAGAGCTAGGCCGATCTGGAACCAGAAGCCAGGAGCTTCTTCTGGGTCTCCTGCACAGGTGCAGGGGCCCAAAGACTTGGGCCATTCTGAACTTCTTTCCCAGGCCATCGCAGAGAGCTGGATCTGAAGTGGAGCAGCCAGGACCTGAACCATCGCCCATATGGGATGCTGGTGTTGCAGTCTGCAGCTTTAACCTGCTGCGCCACAGCGCCGGCCCCCACAACTGGGTTTTATACTCCAGTATCTTCACTTCACTTCTCTCTCTTCTTTTGCTTTTTCTTACATAGCTTTATCAAGATAAAATTCACATACTATGCAGTTCTCCCGAATAAAAGACACAATTCAGTGTTTTATTTTGCCCAAGACTTAAGGAGTAGAGTGTATTTTTCTATGTATGTAAAAATGACATATGTTATGGTACTAAATTAGACAATATCAGTGCTTTCCTAAACTCTTAAGAATTTTTGATTAGCTTGTCACTGGCATTCATCATTATAAGCTTTATTTATATTAACACTTTTATAGCCTCTTGACTTTGGGAAGAGTAACTGGTTTTTGCTTGCTTCTGCCCTCTCTCCATTTACCTGAATGCAGAATTTTTTCTTCTTTTAAACTTCAGCATTTAAAAGTTACTAATGTTCTTTATTGTTCAATTTTAGATAATCATTACAAGTTTTTATGTAACTTTAGAGTAATGTCTTAAAACTAATACTATTTATTTTGTTAGGTGCTACTATATATCAACCTTTAAAAAAAGTTATGTTTATATTAAGAACTAAACTTGTTTGAATGTAATTTAGACAAATAATTGAGTTAAGTTCTTTTCAAAAAAGTAAAAGCAATAAATAATCAAAATGTGATTTTTTTTGTATGTCTAAAGACTTGGAAAATGGTATCTTTACAGTTCTAGTGTGTTACCAGTAATCCACCTAGAAACCAGTTTTTTTTTTTTTTTTTTTAAGGATAGTATTAAACATACTGTTAGTCTGTTGAATGTCTTATACTTTGGTGGTACATTTAGAAAATAAACTTTTGTGTTTTGATCTACATCTCCAAAGAGAATAATACGGGCATCTTTGGGAACAATGATAAATTTCTTTTCATTATAACCATTGCTTTTATTTGGCTTATGCTAAAAATGTTTTCTAATTCACAAATCATTGTGATACATGCTAAACTCCTAATGTTAAGATTTATGTATCTAAAAATGTTGTGTCTTAAAAATGGGCTTTAAGTAGTTGTAGATGTCAGTAACAGTAATAAACTGGTACTTTGTAGAAAGGGGATTCTGGGAATCACAATTTCACTGAAATTCATTAGAAAAATAACTCTTGTTTGAGAAATTTTTAAGTGATAAAGTATAAGAAATTGGTGTTGTTCTAAACCTCAGGTTTGATTTCTTAATACTTGTTGGCCTTTTTGTTTGTTTGTTTGAATGGGGAGAGAGAGCTCTTCCATCTGCTGGTTCCTTCCCCAGATGGCCACAACAGCCAGGGCTGGGCCAGGCTGAAGCCAGTAACTTCTTCTGGTTCTCTCACATGTGTGGCAGGGGCCCAAACACTTGCACTGTCCTCCACTGCTTTCCCAGGTGAATTAGCAGGTGCTGGAATGGAAGTGGAGCAGCCAGGACTTGAACCGGCACCCATATGGAATGCTGGTGCTGTGAGTGGTGGCTTTTACCCACTACACCACAAAGCCAGCCCCAAAGGTTTCTTTATACCTGTTCTTTTTTTTTTTTTTTTTAAGATTCATTTTATTTATCAGAGAGGCAAAAGCAGAGATAGAGAGGTCTTCCATCTGCTGGTTCACCCCCTAGATGGCTGCAATGGCCAGAGCTGTGCCGATCTAAAGCCAAGAGCCAGGAGCTTCTTCTGGGTCTCCCATGCAGGTACAGGGACCCAAGGACTTGGGCCATCTTCTGCTGCTTTCCCAGGCTATAGTAGAGGGCCGGATCAGAAGTGGAGCAGCGGGGACTCGAACTGGCACCGATATGGAATGCCAGCACTGCATGTGGCGGCTTTATCTGCTACGCCATAGTGCCGGCCCCTATATTGTTCTAACACATCCTTAAGCTTGACATCTGTCACAAAGCTGTGTTTTTTTGCCCTCTCTGTAATGTCCCACGAACACTATTGAAAAAGGAATGATAAGGCAAATAAATAAAAATAAAAAACAAAGTATTAAGAAGTAGCATATGGGGCTGGCATTGCAGTATAATGGGTAGAGCCACATCTGTGATGCCAGCATCCCATATGGGTGCTGGTTCTAGTCCTGGCTGCTCTGCTTCGCATCCAACTCCCTGCTAATGCACCCAGGGAAGCAGTGAAAGCTAGCATAAGTGCTTGGACCCCTGCACCCACGTGGGACACCTGGAAGAAACTCCTGGCCCAATCCTGGCCATTACGGCCATTTGAAGAGTAAGCCAGCAGATGGGAGATCTCTCTTCTCTGTCTCTCTGTTTCTGTTTCTCTGCCTTTCAAATAAATAAAATCTTTGTTTTTTTAAGATTTTATTTATTTTATTTGAGAGTTAGTTACAGACAGTGAGAGGGAGAGACAGAGATAAAGGTCTTCCTTCCATTGGTTCACTCCCCAAATGGCCACTATGGCCGGAGCTGCACCAGTCCAAAGCCAGGAGCCAGGTGCTTCCTCCTGGTCTCCCATGCAGGTGCAGGGGCCCAAGCACCTGGGCCATCCTCCACTGCCCTCCTGGGCCACAGCAGAAAGCTGGACTGGAAGAGGAGCAACCGGGACTAGAACCAGGCACCCATATGGGATGCCATTGCTGCAGGTGGAGGATTAACCAAGTGAGCCATGGCGCCGGCCCCCACATTTGCTCTTAATTTCAGGCTTGGTTATTTACTTTCTTTTCTTTTTAAAGATTGATTGATTGATTTGAAAGGCAGAGATACAGAGAAGTAGAGACAGAAAGAGAGGTCTTCCATCTGCTGGTTCACTCCCCAGATGGTTGTAATGGCCAGAGTTGGACCAGTCTGAAGCCAGGAGCCAGAAGCTTCTTTTAGGTCTCCCACATGGGTGCAGGGGCCCAAGGAGTTAGGCCATCTTCCGCTGCTTTCCCAGGCCATAGCAGAGAGCTGGACTGGAAGTGGAGCAGCCGGGAACTGAACTGGCACCCATATGGGATGGCAGCACTATAGGCGGTGGCTTTACCCCCTATACCACAGTGCTGGCCCCCCTCATTATTTACTTTTGTTTTTAAAAGTTGTGCTGTTGTTTGAGAATCAGAGAGCAAGCTCCTGTCTACTGCTTCATTCCCCAAATGCCCACAAAGGCAAGGTCTGGGCAAGGGCTGAAGCCAGGAACACAGTTACTTAAGCCATCACCACTATCCCCCAGGGTCTACATTAGCAGGAAGCTGGAGTCAGAAGATGAAAGTGAGAATCTATCCCAAGCACTCCAGTATGGGGTATGGGCATTCTGGCTGGTGTCTTATCAGGACTGGCTATTTTCTGATTGCTCTGATTTTGCCTTTCATAGATGTATTGCTTATGTTACTCATTCTTGCCTGTTTCAGGCTGGTTACTGGGCTGCGTATTAGAGTATGAAAAGGATTAAGATGCTCTTAAGGCATTCAGTTAAGGGAGAGACAAACATGTAGACCTCCCAAAAATAAACTTGAGAATGAAGTAATTCAGGAGCATCCCTGTTCAGTATGGTTTTGAGGCTAGGCCTGGATTCCTCACATTCATACTAACACTGAATATTTTAGTCTAAACTTTTGCTAGATCTGATGATATCTCAGTGTTTAACATGCTTATACCAATCTTTGACTCATTTTTACTTTTTTTTAGTTTCAAATATATTTATTTTCATCGTCTTTAAAAGGCAGAGACAAGGGCCGGCGCCGCGGCTCACTAGGCTAATCCTCCGCCTAGCGGCGCCGGCACACCGGGTTCTAGTCCCGGTCGGGGCTCCGGATTCTGTCCCGGTTGCCCCTCTTCCAGGCCAGCCCTCTGCTGTGGCCAGGGAGTGCAGTGGAGGATGGCCCAGGTGCTTGGGCCCTGCACCCCATGGGAGACCAGGAAAAGCACCTGGCTCCTGGCTCCTGCCATCGGATCAGCGCGGTGCGCCGGCCGCAGCGCGCTGGCCGCGGCG